CACTGCCACTTGTAGATAACAGCGCGACCGTTTTCTAAGTGCTATCACAATGCAAATTCGCCCAATGAGACCAAGACTTAGAAGATATAAGCTTCATTCCAGGGAAGGGCTTAGGATGGTAGACTTGGATAAAAGGGGTACTCACATGAGGGTCTGTGCGGGTAGAAGCCAGGGCATGCAGATCCAAAAGGGCCTGGTTCAGGGTCTTCTCCAAGGCCAAGGCTGCTTCCATGGCGTCCTGAGTTTTACCCCACTCATCTTGGGAAGGCTTCTACACAGGAGACAGGGACGGCTCATAACGGGCCCCAGACCAGCGGAGGACTAAAAACTACCTTCTCCCACAGGGCCTGCTCTGAGAGATGTCTATCATCCGCAGACCCCTACATATACACGGCCCGGGAGACCTCGCTGCAGACTCAGAACTGGCTGTGCTTATATTTCCAGCCACAATAAAGAACCCTTACGGGTCTGAAAACCTCCCAGAAGCCCACGCGGTGCCTAGACCACGGCCGTGAAAGGCGCACGGGGCGCAGGGACTGCTGGGAAATGTAGTCCACAGGCCCACACACTATTTACCGCCACGTCCTGGAGAAGAATGCGGCCACCGCGCTGGTTTTGCAGCTTTAGGAGACGCTCAGAGCCCTCACGCTTCTCCTCCGCCAACTCTCGGAAGAAGTGGCCCACGCCTTGCAGAGCCACATCGTCACGGTCGAAATAGAAGCCCTGCGGGAATAGTTGGCAGAAACAAGGGTTAGCGGGAGGCTAGGCCGGGAGCGCAGACTCCGCCCTCTGGCTACCCAGCGGGACAAAGAAGGCCAGCGCGTGCCTAGAAGGCCAGATGTGCGCAGTTGTTGGGCATCGGGCCTGGGGCATCCTGGGGACCCTTACCAGAGAGAGGTAGGTGTAGGAGGCCCGCAGATGCAGGTTGGCCAGGCGGTTGACCGCCGCCTCCACCTCGGTAGAATAATTCTGGCGAATTTGGGAGCTCATGGTTGTTCGGCAGTGAAGAATTAAGGTCGAAAAAACGGTGCCGGCTGGTCTCGGAGGCTGAGGAAGGCTGAGGTGGTTTCGAAGACGGTGACTAAAAAAGAAGGTGGAAGGGAGTTGGGAAGGAGAGGCGTCCCTAGGTCTGTTCCGTCCAAACCCTGTTGAAGCAAGAGACAGATCCCAGGACCGCCGAGGGCACTGTGAGAGGCGCGGCCGGGGCGGCTTCTTTTATAGCTTTGGGGGTCCCCTAGAGGTGGTGCGATCCCGGAGAGCAAATAGCCAATCCTCGTCGACGGTGGGTGGGGCCTGAGCCGGAGTGACCAATCCAGAGCAGATAGATGTCCGCACCCAGAGTAGGGGGAAGTCACGCGCCCGTAGCTCGAGGTTGTTATGAAATGGGGAATTAGTTGGGGGTGAGGGAGGGGCTGGGTGCAAGGGTCTGGTGCTTTTGGGGGTAGTTAAGGAGCCCGGAGGGTTGGGTCTCTGGTAGGTGGAAGGTTAATAGGGACACTGGGAGACCTTGAAAATGATGACCCTTTGGACCTGAGGTGTCTCAGGAAAGCTTTTTTGGATCTGGTCTTGTCTGCATGACAGCATGGACTTTTTTGGAGTCCTGGGGTTCCTCAGAGGTTTGGAGACCTTCAGATTATCGGGTTTTGGGGGATGCGCTGAGGGGTCCCCTAGTCATTGGAAAGTCTGCAGGGCAGTGAGATCGTCCTTCAGGAGCATTCGGGATCTGGAAGATGGATTGGCGGGAGCCCTGGGGTTTGCTCCAAGGTGGAGCTCTTTTTTTTTTTTTTTTAAGCCTTAATGTTCACGATGGAATATCGATTTTTCTGAGTTTCTTGGGGGAGGTCTTTAGGCCCTTGAGGTGGTCTGCAAGATTAAAAGGGCAGTTGTTTCGGAGCCTGGGGGCTCACCCCCAGGAGTCGGGAAGAAAGGGTTTTTTTTTTGAAGCCTAGTAGGGGCTCAATTCAGAGGTAAGGGGGCTTGGAGAGCCCTTTAGAAACAGCCCGGGGCCCTTTGGAATACCTTGGGGCTATTTCAGGGGTCCATTTTTTTTCTGGAGGCTGAGACGGGGAGGTGTGAAATGGTATATGAGGTTTGTGGTCTCTCTGACCGCTGTGTTTCTTGGAGGCTGTTTTGAAGGGTTGACCAGAGACTCTGGGAATTCTCTTTGGCTCCAAAGCAGTCTCTCTGAAGTTGTCCCTGCCTTGCCTGCCACATGCTCCTTCTCTTCCAATTTTATTTTTTTATTTTTTATTGATTTGAGAGACACAGAGAGAAAGAGAAACAGAAATATCGATCTGTTTGTAGACAAAAAGGCGCCACACACAACCCCTGATCAGCTCGGGAGGCCTGTGTGGCAGCCTGACGAAATCAGAGACCTCAAGTGACCACATAGGATGGTCTGAAATGAAAACTTATTAACTAAAAACAGGTCATGGCTGGCAATCACTGCTCTAGACTAGAATCTTCCTTGACAAAAGCCAATTTTTTTTTTTACCTTAATTGTTCCTATTGACTTTTTGGGTCTGTGATAACAGACTTTTGGAATGGCAGGTAACTTCCCAGTTTCCAAACCCCTGGGGCACAGCCAGGACACCAGAGCAGAGACCGCAGTCCCCTCATTGTTATCATTCTGTTACTTGTTGACTGTGGACTATCCTGTATCCATAAAAGAAGCTTGTGTCACCTTGACCAGTGAGGCTCAGGTGGTTGGGCTTGCTCCCGCCAAATGGAAGGTCACAGGTTTGATTCCCCATCTGGGCACATGCCTGGGCTGCAGGTTCTGTGCCCAGTTGGGGCTCAAATGAGAGGCAACTAGTAGATGTTTCTCTCCCTGTCTTCCCCTCTGAGATAAATAAAATCTTTTTAAAGAAAAGTATGTGTTTATCATTTTACCTTTTATCCATCCTCAAAGGTTTCAGGGCTTTGTTTTCTCCCACTGCCCTAATCTATTGCCAGTGGGGTTCATACAACCCTGTTATGTCGGTTTTGATTGTAACGTATAAAATAAGGTACAAAACTGCCATTTTTTGGAGCATTTTCTCAACCCATTATGATTTTGCCCCCCCGGCAATTGTCAAGTTTGGCTCAAAGAAACTCACAAATATTCTCTACAGGTCTGATTGTTTCTTACATCAACAAGATGTTCCATGAATTTATTGCATTCATGGGTGGATTTTTGTATGTGCCTGACCAGGGATGGAACCGGCAACCTTGGTGAACCCAGACACGGCCCTAACTAACCGAGCAAGGTGGCCAGGGTACATGCTCCTTCTGAGTCGCAAGGAGAAGCCTTAGACCCTGGGATCTGTGGAGGGCATGTGTGTCTTCAATCAAGGTACATTTTAAAACTGTAAAAGATCCAAACAGGTCCGGGAGGCAGGGCTGGCTCACACTGGGACTCGGCCTTCAAGGAGAACCCTGTTGTGGGGCGGGGGGAGGACAGAACTGGACCCTAATGGAGGCTGCCAGCAGGTTGGGGGGTCTGGGGAGAGATCAGGGCCTGCTTTGCAAGTGGAGCTAGCCCCAGCAGCCCCGGCGGGGTGGCCCCTGAGCAGGGAAGAGCGGCGCCGGGCTGTGGGGGTCCTCCAGGGGAGTCTGGGCCAGAGGCCAGGAGAACAGCAGTGCTGAGTCATGCTGAACTCAGCTCGGGAAAGGGCTCCCCTAGCAGGGCGGGCTTGGGGGGGGGTAGGCACTTGCTGACCTCATCTCCTGGTGGGCGGGCTGCAGTGTGGCTGGGACCCGGGGAACCAGGGCTGGCTGTCTCTGCCCCAGTCTGGCCCCCTGCCCCATAGGGCGGCCTGGAGTTGGAGTGAGCTTTGTCTCTAAGTCTTACTGTCTTTTTAGTTCCGTTGGGCTGTTGTCTGTGGCCCTGTAGTCCCCTCTCTAGGCGGTGACTCAGCTCCCTGCACTGCTATCTTATCTGGCTGACATCTCTCTGTCTCTGTCTCTGGGGACTGTCAATGGGGGAGGGGCTGTGGCCCCAGGCACACTGCCACTGTGGGGCCTGAGTTACACATTGACCAGCTCTGCTGAAGACCTTTGGCCTCAGGCTGGCCCCACCTGGGGAAGAAAGTGCTCACAGGTAGGACAGGAAGGGGTGAGACGGAGCTGACCTGCAGCACGAAGATCCTGTGTTTGCAGGGAGATCCTGAGCTTGGTGGGAGACCAGACCCAGAGAGACTGGTACAGAGACAGAGAGGAACAGAGACAGAGAATGAAGGAGACAGGCACCTAGAAAGAGACAGAACTAGCAAAAAGGGCCAATGATGTCATTCAAATGCCCTTCTGAATTCCCTTCGTGTGTAAACCTGCTGTAAACCTGCCCGGCCCCACACCACCTTCCCTGGGCCTGCTCCTCTCCGGAAACACCCCCACGGGTGGTGCCTGGCCTGGACTCCAGAACTCCTCCTCCAGCTCTGCTTCCCGCCCCACAGCCTGTCAGTCTCCGGTGGTGGCCCCCCACAAAGGGTTGGGCCCATCTCCTGCCTTGTACTCTCTTGTCCTAACCTCCTCTCAACCTTCCTAAGTTCAGTAGCTTCCTGGGCCCTGCCCCGGGTCCAGGTGGCTCCCCTCCTCCCACCTGCCCCATCTCAGTCCTGTGCGACTTTCCACACATGCAGGATTCCAGGCCCCACAGGCCCACGCTGTCCCCTGCTGCCTGGTTCCCTGCCTCACCGCCCTTCAGCCCTGGCTCCTCTTCCTGGTTAACACCCTAAGTGGTGACACATGTGATGTCAAGTGACCCCAGTTCCCACCAGGATTGCAGGATCCCAGAGGGCAGGGCCAGAACCTAACCCGCCACTAACTGGCAGAAGGCACCGGGGCACCCTCAGAAACAATGTGTCAGCACGTGTGGCTTTGTCTCTTGTGACAGCCAGGGGCGGGGGCCCAGTGACTCAAGACACGGGGAGTGTGGCCCGAAAGAGGTTTATTGACCCCTCCCGAAGCCACTCCTTCCCACCCCACCCCCAATAATTACAAAAGTAAGAAAAAGACCCCTGGCCCCCAATCCCCACCCCTCCTGGGAAAAAATGCCATAATTTATGCAGAAAAGACACAGTCCAAGGCAGCTGCTGGCCTCAGCCCATCTTCTTCCAGATGGTGAGTGAGGCGGTGAGCACTCCCGCCACAAAGATGGTCACTGTCTGCCACGTGGGCGTCCCGAAGTAGGAGAGGAGGCCGTCCTGGGGACAAGGACATCAGTCACATCAGAGATTTGGCCACAGGCCAGTACATGAGGGGACAGGGGGAGGTCAGAGGGCGTGAGTAGGGACAAGAGCCTAAGACTAACAGGCAGTAAAGAGCTGGGATCAAAGGCTTATCAAAGAACGTGAGGGATCCCAGAGGAAGTGGAGGCATCAGGGAGGGCACAAAGTACTAGTCAGGTCAAGGGTCACTGGGAGGTCAGGGGTCACAAAAAGGTCAGCAGGTTCCAGCTGAATCAAGGGTTGATAAGATGTGAGGAAACGCATTACAAACCACCTGTGATGATCTGAAAATGGGTACAGGGGTGGGAGCACCACTGTGGAGGGCTCAAGAAGGCCCAGGGGTCCCAGAGAAGTGTGGAGAGGGGGTGAGTTGGGGGCCTCACCCAACCACCCTGGTCCTGGATCCAGCCCAGCAGCCGCTCTCGAAGGAAGTCCAGCGTCCAGCCCATGATGGTCCTGATCAGCTCGGGCACTTTGGTGCACAGGGCCTGCGGAGGGAGGGCTGGGCCTCGGGACTGGCCTTGTCCCCAGGGCTGTGCTGCCAAGTCCTTGCCTCCCCTCCCACATTCCCCTGGTCTCTTTTCCACTCCCAGTCGGAGTGAGCTTCATATATTGTAAACCTGACTGTGCCACTGTCAACTGCCCTGCTCTCAAACCTTCCATGGCTCCCTAGTACCCTTGGGATAAGGCAAAAGGCACCGATAAGCAGACAGCTCGGCCCACGGGCCTTGTGTGAAGGCTCTGTCTTAACAGCAACCAAATTTATGACTTTTCTATGGCGCACTGACCTGCTCTCCTATCTTCATTCCCATCAAACCCTCCCCCCTGCCCCAGGCCCTTTGCACACCCTGACTCTGCTGCCTAAATGGGCCTCCACCAAATGAACCTTCACTTAAGCCTCAAAGCTCAGGTCTATGGTCACTTCCCCAGGGAAGCCTCTTCTGACCTGCAGGCCAGGTAAGACTCGACACCCTCTAGAGCCGCCGCCTGCTCTCCATCCCCCTTAACGTCCCCTTCCTGCTCTGTCTGGCTGCTTCTCCCCGCCTGCCCTCCCCAGCTCATCCGCAGCACTGCCATCACCACGACTGCTGTCCCCCTCACTTCCAACATTCAACCCCCATGAGCTCGGTCTTGCAGAGACATGGAGAAATCTATTTCGCCACCTTCAGTGCTACCACCTGAGTCCAGGTGAGTCGCTGTTTACAGGGACTATGACAGGTGCCTCTCACCAGCTGCCCTGCTTTGGCCCTTGTGCCCCATAATTCCTTTCTCTACCCAAGATGACTGGAACATTTTGTAGAGCTCCCCCCCACCCCAACAGCTTATCATAACAATCTTCAGAGAGAGGAGTGAAGATAATTTCACAACGAACAACCATCTGCCGGCAACCTAGATTCTACAGTGAACATTTGCCCACACTTGCTAGAGTATTTTTCTTTCTTTTTTTTCAGAATAGTATTTTAAATTTCTAAATCAGGTCACCTCACTCTCCTATTTAAAAACGGCCAATGGCCCTGCCGTACTCCGAGTAAAGCTGAAGTCCTTCCAGGGCTCCAGAAGACCCCCCAGATCTGCCCTCATCTCTGCCTGCTTCTCACTCTGATCTCACCACGTGGGGCTCCTCATTGCCTTGGGCCTACCAAGGTCTCACCCCAGGGCCTTTGCACGTGCTGTGCCCGCTACCGCATGCCTTCCCCGGATATCCTCATATATCACTGCATCTTTCTCATCATTCCAGCTTTGGCTTCAATGCCACCTCCTCTTAGAAGCCTTTCCTGATCACTGTGCACAACCACATCACTCTAGCTTACTGCTCTCAGCACTCGCCCTTCGAGGTGGGCTCTTGGAGAGCGGGGACCTAGCCTCCTTTGCACATTGCTGTGTCCTCAGTGTGGAGTACAGGCCTGGCACATAGTAGGCCCAACACATGTCTGTTGAATGAATAAATGAAGAAGCTAACGATCGGCTCTGACAGCTATCTGTTTCTGGTCCCTGTGGGCTGCCACCGAGGTTGACCTCACCACTCCCAGGCCCCGGGAGGCTGGAGGGGTGACCCCCCAGGCCGGCCACCCTGCGGCCGCACACCTTGAGCACCAGTTTGCTGGCGAAGTAGAAGAGGGCAACAACCCGGCCCCAGTTGAAGTTGCCGTCGGAAAACATTTCGGACGCCACTCGGAAAAAGACCTCGCGGGGGGAGTCTGTGTCCACAGCCGCGATCATCCTGCAGGAAAGGGGGAGCAGGTGCTGGGGAGGGACCAGGCAGAGCGTGGAGACTCTGGCATCCACCCCATACCAAAGATAAGAAAACTGAGGCCCAAGACACGCTGAAACACAAAGCAGCAGGCCAACGTGGGAGGAAGGGACAAGACGGACACTCCGCAAAGTGGGGGAAGTGCCTCCCTGACGGAGGGTTTCAAGATCCTAGGGGAGGGGAGGGCTGGGAGTTGAAGAGTTGCTGAGTTGAGTGGCAGGGCCCTGGACCTCTGAGTCTGAGGGAAATGGGGGCTGTGGGCCCTGAACTTAATGCTCCTAAGGAAAGGGGGAGTTGGGAGCTGGGACTCCTGGGCCCCCAGGGGGGCGGGGCACACCTCTGCAGCTCCACATTACTGTCCAGTTCATCTCCGATGCGCTTGAGGCAATCGCTCAGTTTCTTGGTGGATGCATCCGGGGGCACCCTGGGCTCCAGGGCCAGCTCGGGTGTGTCTCCCGCGATTCTCCCTGCTCGATCCCGAATGAAACTAGAGTGGGAATGGAGGGGAGGGTGGTGCAGAATCAGAAACGGAGGGGGGGGGGTCACTCCTCAAATCTGCTCTGCAATAATCAGACCTCACACTCACCCCTGAAGTAAAAGGGCCCCTGTCTTCATGATCTGCTCAGAGCTGGTGGGCCCTAGAGGAGAAAGGAGGGAAGAGGTGCCTGGACTCATGGGCCCTAGGGGAACTGGGGTGATTCAGGACCCGATAGAGGACAATGCTAGGGGGCCCTGGGTTTCTGGGTCCCTAGTAGACGAAGTCACTGGGAGCCCAGACAACTTCAGTCCCTGATGGAGAAAGAGAAAGGGAGCCTAGGCCTGTATCCTACAGTCTTCCGGGAAACCAAGCTCAAGGAACACTTAAAAGCATCCTGGCCAGAGGGGACAGAGGGGAGACGCGCCCCTCCCACCAGGAAGTGGTGCCAGCGACAAGCCCGGGCTTGCCCCGGGGTTTGTATTCTGGGGTCTCCAGCTTCTCGGGGATCCCAGAGCGCCAGCCAGGAAGGGATTGGGGTGCGGAGGACAGAGAACCGGGGAACCTCGAGGAAGGAGGGGGCTGGAAGCTGGCTGGCAGCACCCGATCCGGGAGTTTCTGACCCGGAGTGCCGGGAGAACGCACGCCCGGAGACCGGCAGGCGAGATCGTGGGGCTGGCCGGCGAGGGGATCGCCCTCCTCCCGCCCGTCTGCCTCCAGCCTCACCCCCGTCTCTGGGTTGCTCCCCGGACCCGTCCATCACTGCCGCTCCCTCCGCCGCCTCTCGCCGGGTCTGCCCTGGCGGCTGCAGCACGCCCCCAGTCACGTGAGCGTCCCGCCGAGCGTGCGTCCACTCACGTGACCGCCCCGCAAAATGGCGGCCGTGGGCCTCTGCCCCGCAGAGCGGTAGGCTCACATCGCCCCACCTGCCTCGCCCACCACTTACCTCGCTCACCATCACCTGACCGTCCAATCAGTACTGCCCTTTAGGAGCCCCTCGTGGTGCCATTCCACTGGCCACCCATTCTGTTGCAGCTATAGCTTTCATTCATTCGTTCGTTCGTTCATTGCAGTCTTTTCAGAAGTTTCCGGGGTACTTGAACTCTCCCACGGTAGAAGAAACATCGAGTGGACAGCAGACAGGAACAGCAGACCGCAAAAACCGCGTTCCCTGAAGCAGGACGTCTCCCGATGACTAACGGCTATGAATGACTATGGGTGTTTGTGTGAAAAATAAAAGGAATATCTTCGAAACTTGCAAAACTAATCTCTAGTGATACACTGGCAGGGTATGGACAGGGTGGGGCCCTGAGAAGATCCCTGGGTGCCTGAAATGTGCGATATTTTGATCTGGGTGGTGATTGTCTGCCTCTGCACACATGTGCAAACTCGTTGGCCCTGGTGGGGTAGTTCAGTAGGTTAGAGCGTGGTCCCCATAGCCAAGGTTGCAGTTTGATCTCTGGTCGGGGCACACACAAGAAGCAACCAATGAATGCACACATAAATAAATGTAACTGCAAATCTATGTCTCTCTAAAAATCAAGAAATAAAATATAATAAATATAAAAATTAATTTAACTGTACACATAAGAACAATAAAGTGCATCGAACCATGCACTTTACTATATGGAATTATTATATCTCCTTTAAAAAAAGAAATAATAAGAAAAAAGAAATTGAACCCTGGCTGGCATAGCTCAGTGGATTAAGCTCGGGCTGTGAACCAAAGTGTCTCAGGTTCAATTCCCAGTCAGGGCACATGCCTGGGTTGCAGGCCACGGCCCCCAGCAACCGCACATTGATGTTTCTCTCTCTCTCTCTCTTTCTCCCTCCCTTCCCTCTCTAAAAATAAATAAATAAATAAAATCTTAGAAAAAGAAAAAAGAAATTGGCCCGGCTGGTGTAGCTCAGTGGATTGAGTGCCCGCCTGCAAACCAAAGGGTCTCAGGTTTGATTCCCAGTCAGGGTACATGCCTGGGTTGCAGGTCAGGCCAGATCCCCAGTAGGGGGCGCACCAGAGGAACCACATATTGGTGTTTCTCTCCTCTTTCTCTCTCCCTTTCCATCTGTCTAAAATAAATAAATAAAATCTTTAAGAAAAAGAAAAAAGAACTCGGATGAGAAAAGTAGAATAGGGTCAGATGATGAAGGGTTTGGGCATATAGAAGAAGAGATCTGTGTCCCAAGGGTGGCTGGAAGCCATGGCAATTGAGGATTGTAGGTGCCCCAGTCCATCAGCCTAGCATCAGCGGGAACACAGTGTGATGAAGTGAAGTTTATCGGGCCCATTGCAATGATGGAGTCTGCACAAGAGAAACCACAGAGCATCCTGACAAACAAGGAGAAGGCAGGGTTATTACAGAATATGGAGGAAGCGTGGAATTTAGGTAACAATGAGATGAGAGGCTCAGAGCAAAGCAGGGTCGACATCAGATGTGGACCGTGAAAAAGAACCGGGGTCCTCTGCCATTGGAAACTAGAAGACAAATGCAGACAAGAAGTGTTAGGTCCTCCAGAAACCCTTTGAAACTATGTCCCCAGGTCGGAAATCAAGGCTGTCCCTCTGTATCAGATGGCTTAGACAGGTGAGATTTGGATGTTTTCTGTTTACCGATGGGATTTCCAACACTGCATGATTTTAGAGAATAAAGTTTCTCTGTAAGAAAATGTACCTTTCCAAGACTGGTGAGGGTCAGTGGGTAGGATGCAGTCTCTGAACCAAAAGGTCTCTGGTTGAATTCCCAGTTAGGGCACATGTCTGGGTTTTGGGTCAGATCCCTGGCTGAGGGAGTGTGAGAGGCAACTGATACATATTTCTCTCTCTCTCTCTCTCTCTCTCTCTCTCTCTCTCTCTCTCTCTCTCTCTCTCCTTTCCTTCCCCTCTCTCTCAAAATATAAAAATAACTTTTTAAAAGAGCTTGTCTTGGGAGAAATGATGTTTGCTATTACAATTTTTATTGATTGGTTGAGGGAGGGAGAGAGAAATAAAGATAGAAAGGGAGACATCAATTTGTCCCACTTATCTGTGATCTTTGGTTCTTGTATGTGGCTGGACCTAGGATCTAACCCATAAACCTTGGCATATTGGGACCATGTTTAAGATTTTATTTTTAGACAGAGGGGAAGGGAGAAAGAGAAACATCAATGTGTGGTTGCCTCTCATGTGCCCCCTACTGGGGACCTAGCCCACAACCCAGGCATGTGCCCTGACTGGAACTCGAACCAGTGACCCTTTGCTTTAGGGTCCTGTACTCAATCCATTGAGCCACACCAGCCAGGACTGTTTCCTATTAACTTTGAAGATGGCTTTATCTGTGCCTGTTAATTGAACCCAAAGAATTAGCCCTCCCTCTACCTCAGTAATGGAATAGGGAGAGTTTTTAATGCACTCACAGACCTTTAAACAGTACAGCTCATGAGTAGACTGAAGAAGACTTTTCAGATAATTCTGAAGTCAAAGTTGTCTACAATAATAAAGATGCTGTGTTAAAACTGCAACACCCTTCTGCAGCATGGGCCCCACTGATTGTCACCCCCAGGTACCCGTGCCCCTCCCACACTGAACAGGACTGACCAGCGCAACTAATAGGGTATTGTGGAAATGACAGAGTGTAATGCCAAGATTAGGTCACTAAAAGTCACTGTGGCCCTGGCTGATTGAGCACTGGCCTGCAAACCAGAAGGTGGCTGGTTCAGTTCCTGGTCAGGGCCCGTGTCTGGGTTGCGGGCCAGGTCCCCAGTAGGGGGCGTATGAGAAGCAACTGATCAATGTCTCCTCACACATTACTGTTTTGCTCTCTCTTTCTCCCTACCTTCTGCCTGTCAAAATCTTAAAAAAAAAAAGTCACTGCAACCCCTCCTTGCTCTCTAGTGAACCACTTGCTATGAGAGGACGCAGCTGCCATGTCGTGAAGACACTGAACGCCATCGTCCTCTGGAGAAACACATGTGTCACAGAACCAAGTCCTCCAGCCTGTGAGCGGCCCCCTTTGGAAGCACATGCTCCAGCCCCAGTCAAGCCTTCAGATGACAGCTGTGCCCACCAACCTCCTGACGGCAACCAAGAGTTTTTTAAAAAAGATTTTATTTATTTTTAGAGAGAGGAGAAAGGAGGGAGAAAGGGAGAGAAACATCGATGTGGGAGAGATACACCGATGGGTTGCCTGTAGCACAGCCCCCACCTGGGTACCTGGCCGGCAACCCAGGCGTGTGCCCTGACTGGGAATCGAACCAGGGAGCTTTCAATCCACAGGCCAGCGTTGGATCCACTGAGCCACACCCACCAGGGCACTCCTGAGAGATCTTAAGTCAAAACCACCCAGCTAAGCCACTTACGGATTTCTGACTCTCAGAAATTGTGAGATAATGAACATTTATTGCTGCTTTAAGCTACTGAGTCTGTTACTCAGCAATAGAAAATGAATACACCTGGGGTAAGTACGGCCTAGGTACAGGGGAGGAAGTCACAGCCCCGTGAGGGAGACAGACTTGCCAAGCTGCACAGTGGGTAGGATTTGGGGGTTCCAGTTACCCTCAGTCATCGTAAATATGAATCGATCTCTCATATTGTAAAAGTTATGATACCAGTTTTCCCGGTTAGCTGCTGCCATGTAATCAGCCCAAAGGTCAGTGGTTTATTTTTTATTTTTTGGTATTTTTAAAATTTACTAATTTTAGAGAGAAGGAGAAAGGGGAAGAGAGAGAGACTAACATCGATTAGTTGTTCCACTTATTTATGCATTCATTGGCTGATTCTCCTATGTGTCCTGCCCAGGGATCAAACCTGCAACCTGGCACATCGTGACAATGCTCCAACCCACTGAGTAGCGGGCCTGGCAAACTTTCGTGGCTTAAAACAACCATCACTTTCTCTTTCATAGGCCTGTGGGTTATGACTTTGGAAAAGGTCTACGGGGGTTCGATCAGAACATGATTAAGCATCTACTTTCCTGGAGCCTCATGGCTTTCCATGTGACTTCTCCGTGTAGCTTAGGCTGGGTCTCCTCACAGTTTGGTGCTTGCGGGGAAGCCAAACCCCTTGCCTGGTGGCTGAAGGTTTCAAGAGTACTTCAGTTCACAGGGAACTGCAGCTTCTCCTGACCTCTCAGAAGTCACTCGGCATCAGCATCACTTCTGCCGAGTTCCGATGGCTACGAGGGAGTCGTGGGCCCGCTCCATTTCAAGGGGAGGGGAAGTGAGCGGAGACAGGAGACATCTCTGAAAAATGCAATGTGGCTGTGCTGCTTCAGCAAAAGCTAATAAAACTGGTTTAAACAACACAGAAGTTCATTTCCCTCTCATGTACTAGTCCAAGAATATGCAACACCAACTGATATTTACTGTAATGCTCCAGTGTCAGGAACCGAAATGGTTAATTTTATGTGTCAACCTGACTGGGCCACAGGGTGCCCAGATGTTTGGTCTAACCTTATTCTGGGTGTTTCTGGGTCAGATTAACATTTAAAGCTGTAGACTGCATAAAGCAGATCGCACACTCTGATGTGGGTGGGCCTTGTCCAATCAGTTGAAGGCCTGAATAAAACAGAAAAGCTGACCCTCCTCTGAATAGGAAAGAATTCTTTCTGCCTGGCAGCTTTAGAACTAGGACATCAGCTTCCTTCCTTTGGACTCAATCTGAAACATCGGCTCTTTCTGGGTCTTGAGTTGCTGGCCTTCAGATGAGAAGTACACCAACGGCTTTCCTGGCCCTCAGGCCTTCGGGCTCAGACTGGAACTAAACATCAGCTCTTCTGGGTCTCCAGTTTGCTAATTCAGCCTGCAGACCTCGGGGCATGCCTACCTCCACAGTGATGTCTTTCTTCTATCCTTCTGGCCTTTGGCTCCACCATCCACAACACATGTCTCCCTTCTCACAGTGTGAGATGTCACGCCAGTGCCCAACATCACACCCCACTCCAGGGGCAGGAAGTGAGAGGTTGGAAGGGAATCCACCCTTCTTGCCTTTTATGGCCATAACTCAGATGCTGCACATACCTTATTGGCCAGAAGCTAGTCACATGGCAAGAAACTAGCTGCAAGGGAGCTAGGGAGATGTAGTTTTCAGCTGTGCAGCCATGTGTCCAGTGTAGCTTCCTTCTCATTGGTGAATGATTTTTAAGGGGACATCTAGCCATCCCTGCCACTCCATTAAAGATTGAAGCCAAGCAAGCAGAGAGCTGAAACCAATGTGGTGGTAGGTAAATGATGTGTTAGGGGACAGAAAAATAGCAAGCAATAGTCCTGACTGGTGTGGCTCACTGGACTGAGTGTCCAATTGCTGGTTCAATTCCCAGTCAGGGCACATGCCTGGGTTTCAGGCCAGGTCCCCACTAGGGGGTGCATGAGAAGCAACCACACACTGATGTTTCTCTCCATATCTTTCTACCTCTCTTCCCCTCTCTAAAAATAAATAAATAAAATCTTAAAAAAAAAAAGAATAGCAAGCAAATAGGAAATTCTTTTGATGATGTCTAGTCTCTCAATGTTCTGTAATTTCTATCAAATTGCTTATGGGCTCAAAGTGTGTTATTAGTGTCATAAACCCAATATATTCATCTTCCTTTCTGGAACCTGGTAGAATTACACTTATTGGACTCTCTCTGGTTCGTTGAGGTCATATGCCTAGTTTTGGCCAAGAAATTGTAAGAGGCTATGTATGTCATTTCTG